TTCATTGGTCAGTGTTCATGTAATAAAATTGGATAATGACAGGATCGGAGGTGTCGCTGCGTCATTTGCGTTCTTCCTGTGTTGGAGGCTATCTAGAGAGGTGCGACATCAATAGAGAGTAGGCTTAGCTTGATGCAGATGTTATTTCTCAAGCTATGCTGCGTTTTCTCTTACCTTCGCCCCTTTTTTTTGTAATTTATTGGCTATTAGTACGTATACTCTAAGACTCTCTTTCTGTTGAGATTCTTTGTACATGTAATCTCATTTTACGGATGGATTTGAACATTCCAAGTTTGACAGAGGATGATGGGTTCAGGTACGTGACTTTCGTGCACAGATTCAGAAGAAATGGATACTGAAGGTCGAGTTCAGCTTGTACAACTTAAAGGGACAACGTGCTGCCTATAGGACAGCTTACCGTTTGAAACGGGGGCTAGTGGCAGACGCTGAAGATGGTCGGACGCCTGCACAGGAGAGACGTAAACCCTATCCAATAGCATGCGGACGGAAGTCAACCTCCAACTCAGATGCAAGCCTCCCTTATCGTTTCGACACAATCGTCCTCTCTTTGTGCAATGAACTCAATAAGAAAGCCTGTTAAAGATGCTCAGAGTGTCCCTTGCGGTTGCCGCTGTTTGCCTACGTGCCGGTCAGGCTGAAACCTGCTTCATCATGGAAGCCGCTACGCAACCTCTCAGGCTGTAGTCAGAGGTCAACCTGTTCTCTCTTTCTCACTTCAGAGTAGCGAACACAGGTATATAAATGCTGGATCATACGATGCCAAGGGTTCCTCAGCTGGTCTCACCTCTCCACCCCACGAACTTTGACAACTTCCTTTCTTCGATTTAATTATCACTACGATGGTTCAACTCAAAGCTGCTGCCATTGCTCTCATCACTGCTGCGTCTGTTGCTCCGGCATTGGCCTCATACTATAATGACGAATATCTTGCCAAGTAAGGTCTCACTTATTTTAACCACTAATATACCTGACTGTGATCATTGTAGCCGCGAAGTCATGGATGAACTTGAGGACATCCTCGCCCGAGAAAACGGGAACTTTGATTTGTTTGTAGTCTTATTTTGTTGTATACATTGGAGCTGATATTTTTACCCATTCAGAGATGCCCGAGATTATGAGGGTTTTTCCAGTCGTGATTATTCCAGCGAGGATATCTTCGAGCGCGCTCCGTTTATGATTGAGGATGCAACCCTCGAAGTTCGTGATCTTGCTCCTGAATCTGAGGAGCTTGCTGCACGTTACATTGAAAACATGGAGCTCCAGGAACGTGGGCCTGATCCGAATGTCGTGGACTGGGTCAAAGGCCTGTTCCATCACAAGAAGGGCGACAAAGAGCATCACGACAAGCACCACGGAAAGCATCAAGGAAAGCACCACGGCAAGCATCACAAGAAACATCATAACAAGCATCATCATAAGAAGGCCGACAATACTGCTCAAGGTGGCAGTACGCAGACTCCAATTGATAGTGGAGCCTCTTCTGGATCCGGAGCAGAGTACGTTTTTCGTTTCCTGTCTTGTTGAGTACTGTTATTCACTTCGAGCAGTGTCTCTAGTCGTGAGCTCTATGAACGTGGATGGGAGGCACAATCTGAATACGAAGAATTATTGAGACGTTACTACGACGATATCTATGAACGTGCCATGGCATGAAGCTACTATCGCAATAATCGAAAAAGCTTTTCTGCTATTAATAGTTATACCAAGTATGCAACAAAGATTTCATTATTTGTATTCAAGTTTAACAAAGAAATCATCGATAACGGAAGAATTTGTGCTACTTTTGGGCTACTGCCTGCCTGACTTAACCCAAGCAAGATCGATTACAAGGGTGTCGAGAGCCCTGAGACTGGTCATGTTTTCCTCGAGAGACTGAGTTCAGAAATAATGTCTGAGTCGATATTTTAGATGCTGATACTATATTCTGAATAAGAAAACCTTTGCTGGGCCTTCCGTGAATTGTTACTCAAAAGAAACGAGATCCGTTCCCCTTTGGAGTCTGACTTAGGTTGATCGAGACAGGAAGTCAGGTATTCGGAGGAGACTCTGAAAATTTGCTGTCAACCCGAATATAAATTAGTGGTCAACCACTTTATGAATACATGTAGGCGAAATTGAGGAAAATCTTCCTTCTTCAACAGTGCAAGGAAAGTGGTCAGAATTTGGTCAGAATGGGTTGCGCCTCGCTTAGGTCTGCCCTAAACAGACGCGTCTATTATCACATGACATGCATCTACGAAAATTCCCCTCACCCTTTCTCAAATTCTTTCCTTGAAATTTCACAAACCTTTATCCAATCTTTGCCTCCGCTATATGGTTCAAATCAGCGCACCGAAGATTCTAATTGCCCTGCACAACACTCAACTCCCAAGATGTTTGCCTGGTTTCTACATTCCTGAGACAGTCTCAGACAGAGTGAATGCTATAGCGAGCTCTGAGCTTGACCTACCTACTATAGGCGAATCGTCGGGTCATTGGATCTCGGAGGATGTGGAAGGTTGACAGAAGATTGTATGCCTGTCTGCTCGGAAATTTGCCTAGTCTGGTGCGGCCGCATAGTCGGCCAATCCCAAAACATCATCTGCGATGGTCGACGTCGGCTTCATGGTGTTTCAGCTCCGTCCACGCTGTGTCCCGCCATCGTGGTCGACTTACAGCTCAGAAAACAATGTTACCTTCTCGTTTCTTCTGTCACTGCTTGCTGTCGGCTACTCAGGCACATTTGAAACGGGAAACTGACAGTTGGAAAAAGTCCGTCAAGCTGCAGATTGAGAGGTCGTTGCCACCGGCCCGTCGTCGATAGTGTTTCCGATCGGAACTTTGGGAACGCTTCTGGGACTTAAATACCCTGTCATGGTTTGGATACGATTCCTCAGCTGGTCTCATCATCATCTTCTCGATAATTACATCTCTCAGTCCCGACTCCCACTATCACCATTATGGTTTACATGAAAGCTACTGCTATTGCTCTCCTCGCCGCTGGATCCATTGCTCCAGTGTTGGCCTCATACTACAATGAAGATTACCTTGAGCAGTATGTCTTTTTCCTAGTCACTATTTTATTCATTTTAACTGATGTGTCTGATTTTAGGCGTGAAGTATCAGATGAACTTGCAGAAGTACTTGCGCGTGAATACGGCTATGATCTGTGGGTCGCCTCAACAATCAGTTTTTGTCCAAATCCATAATTAATTTCCCTTCATTCAGTAGAGCACGCGAGTATGAAAACTACGAAAGGATATCTCGTCGTGGATTCTATGATGTCGACGATCTTTTCGAGCGCTCTCCTTCCATGGTGGAGGATGTGAGCTTTGCTAGCCGCGACCTTCAGCCGGAATATGCAGAACTCTTGACACGGTACTTCAACGATCTTGAGGAACGTGAGCCCGATCCCAATGTCATTGAATGGTTCAAGAACCTCTTCCATCACAAAAAGAAAGACGACAAGAAGACTCAAAGCATCACCGCCAGTACTACCACCAGTACCACTGCAACAACGACCCCTACTCCAACCCCTGCTGCTCAAGACAACGTGCAGGCTCCCACTGACAATGGAGCATCTGCTGGTACAGAGTATGTCCTTTATTCTGTACATGAGAATCTGCATTTAACCACTCTCTCAGTCCGAGCACTGTTTCAAGCCGTGAGCTCTACGGCCGTGATGACATAGAGTACGAAGAACTTGTGATGCGTTACTTCGACGATATGTACAAGCGCGGGCTTGCAGCTGAAGTGGATTCTAGCAGTCTCTCTGCCCGCAAATTTGAGGACAATCTCGAGCTCCTTCAACGCTCTCCGGATCCCAACATCATTGAATGGTTCAAGAACCTTTTCCATCACAAGAAGAAGGACGATAAGAAAGCGGCGAGCACAACTACCACTACAAGTAGTACAACAACTTCACTCCCACTCCCACTCCATCCCCTGACGCTGGTGCAGAGTGCGTTTTTCAGTTGTGCATATATTTTACAGTTTGCTCATTGCCTTACATCATTTAGTCCAAATGCGGTCACTAGTCGTGAGCTTTACGGACGAGCTGAACAAGAGTACGAGGACCTCCTGATGCGTTACTACGATGAGCTCTTAACCTGGACTAAAATTTTAATCGGAGTTGGCTCGGAGATTGACTGCCGGAAATAATAAACCATTCCATTACATATTTGCCACTAAATAGCACAGTGTCTGGTATCTGCACCGTTTATTATACTTACGAATTAGGATGTTAACGAGCAATATTCTCACACGACCTTTCCTCTTCGTTTCTTATCATCCTCGCAGAACCCATATTTGATGATCTAAAACATGAAGTGACTCTTGAACAAGACCAAGTCAAGTGAGGTGTCCATGACGTGGATGGCGCTGCACAGGGTATTGGCAGGAGTTGGAGGACAGGATGACAAGGAAAAAAGTGACGAAGCATATTATGCCTACGCCGGCCACTTGAAGCTTTGGGCAAAGCTTAAAAATATAGAGGACCTGTTACCCAATTGCTTCAAGTTGAGATTCAGCTTCGAACTATTTCATTGAGCACCGATTACTATGACGGACTTGAAAGATCCTTGGCACTCGAAAGGTCAGGACAGAAGCTGCGGGCTGGGATACATTTTCCTGGGACTCCAAGGTCTTTACAGCAGTAGATTGCTCTATTTATACCTGTACAGAATGACCCCGATAGGCAGATTTGATATGAGCAGAGTGATACTTGAACACTGAAAATGGGTGGAAATGACAATTAATGACGAAATGGACAGAGTGATCCTTGCTACAAGTTGAGACTCACTTAAAACAGACAGAAATGTCAGCAAATCCTCTAACTTTACCTCTCAATTGCTTCCCATCTCCATTTTGAATTCTTATTTTTGGTCCCAGTTGCACAGGTTCAATGGAAGGCTTTGATAAGGGACCACATACAATTGGAGGGTGGCAAAAATATTATGTAGCTTGCCATTCTAGAGGTTCCAATGTTGAACAGCCTTTAAGGCCGGCTAGCTCAGTTGGTTAGAGCGTGGTGCTAATAACGCCAAGGTCCTGGGTTCGACCCCCATGTTGGCCATGAGAATTTTTTGTAATCTGTTTTACTGTAGCTCCTTTAATTTTTGGTTCTAGCAAAGAGCATTCCACCAGATTCATTTGAAGACCGTGGTTTGTAAGTGCTGTACTACAAACACCATGATTATATTCTACCTTATTGCTATATTTTTTTGAAGTAAAGAAGGATGGCCGATGCTCAAAGAACAATATTTAATCTACAATATAGACTCTTTGGCATGGTTATACCGCTACAGAGGTACCACACGCTTTCCTCATATGCTGATGGCTCGCAGTACTTTACAACTCGGAGAGATACAATACTCAGGTACCCTGAACACCATCACAAGCATTAAACCATCTCCGAAGAATCCACCTTAAAGTTACACATCTCATACTAGTACTCCTCCTTGTACCGCGCAGCTCTACTCACCAACCCCATCGTCTCGTAAAAATACAACCCCTCCCGGCGCAGGGCGTCTTTAAATTTGATGATGGGGTCGGTGGCGCTTTCCGCTACACGTGGGGTTTGACCGTTATTGCTTGAAGTCCACCCTTGGACTTGATGCATGTCCCCCCACCCCATAGCGCGATGGGCGTACTCCACGCGCAGGCTGTTGGATTCTGGGGGTGGCATAAACGCAGGCGGGGCAGTCGCATGTGAACCCGTAAGAAAGGAGGAGGGAGGACTGTCGTTCGGCTGTGGGCTGTTCGATGTTGGTGTAGGAGTAGAAGAGCTCTTGGCCGGCTTTGATGTCCGCTCGGGCGATGAATTGGAAGGAGAAGGAGGATAGGGAGAAGTCGACGTCGATGTTTGGTATGCAGCTGGTGAAATATGAGTTGGAGAGGAGCGTCAGTCAGTCATGTCAGTCGGTAAGGGTAACTGTACACATTTAAGCTTGTTTTGGGAGAAAAAGTACTGACCTATGGTTAATCCTCGACCCAATCTTGACGATCCCAGAGTACCCATTCGCACCATCATCCCACAGCTTCTCCCCATCAAACACCTTCCCGCTCATACTAAACCCATTCGTGCGTACGATCCCCAGAATCGGTCCGCTCCCATCCCCCTGCTCCCCCGTATGACTATTCGCAAGCTCCATAAACGCCTCCCTGTCCTTCTTCAACATCCGACCCACCGCCACCTCGAGCTGCTTCTCCCATTCCAGCATCACCATCTCCTTATGCTTTTCGTCGTCCAAATCCAAAGCCAGGTCCAAATCCAAATCCAAATTGAGCATCTGGACGACCTTGTGATTACCCCGTGGAACCACCAACAAAGGCCGCTCGGCGAAGATCAGCTCGCCCATCTGGATGTCCTTGGTTGCGAATACGCCTAGGCCCTTGGTTGGGGTGGCCTTGACGATGTAGGCGGGCGATGATGACCCAGACGAGCGGGGTTTGGGGATGGGCTTGAGGTATCCTGGTGCGTTGACGATTTTGCCCTTGGTCGCGGCGTCGCACCAGAATTCGCTGTGCCCGTCTGGGTCGAGTGGGTCGGTGATGTTGCGGGAGGGGATGGTGGTGAATAGCATGGTGCCTGCTGGATAGTCGATCTCCAAACGGTGTCCGGCGGCCATCGTTATTTTCGATTTGTAGCCTTCTGGGATGGCTGGAGAAGGTGGGAAGTATGTTCGTTAGGTACAGTCAAAAGCGAAAGAACAAAGATATTTACTGAATGGCGTCTTTGGAAGCTTTGAGCGCTTTGACGGACCTGAGAGAGAAAAAGGAAGGAAGAAATTGTTACTTTGATATTAACCCTTACAAAAAAAAATATTCTTACCTGCCGTCGCCTGAGCAGAAAAAGCACTAGGAACAGAAATTTCCGAATCGGCTGATAACATCGCAAGTGCTGCCACTCCATAAAAAAGCTCTGTGGAATGAGATGTCAGTTATTGCCGATGCACGCCAATCATCCTTGGGGATAGACCTTACCTTTCAATTCCTCGGTCGATTTCTGCTGCTTCAATGACTCGCAAAATTTTTTGTCATCTTTGAGGGCCATGATCCTGTCGACGAGATACTCTAGCAACAAACAGAAATGATTTCCGTAATTTCTCCCGAGAGTGCAACACTTACATACCTTTGAGCATTTCCGCAGTGGTCCCCAGTTCCGGAAGGCTGGCAGCGTCGGCAGCTGAAGGATCCGGAGGAGAGGCTGACGGTGTCTTCTGCTTCTGCTTGGATGAAGACGAAGATGGAGCAGAGTTGCCTGGGAGAGAGGCACGCTTCTTTGCTTTTGCTTTGGATTTACTTCGGGTCATTGGAACGTTGGGCGAGGTGCTTAAATCAAGGCGATGACGGTGGGAGTGGTAGGAAGAAAAGGGATTGGGCGGACTCGAGTGGACATGCGGGAGTTTATCAGAGCACTGAATAGGGAGAGTTCTGCTCGATCGACTGTGCCAGCCACCTTCGAGAAAGGAATTGGTGAAGCTAATCAAGGCGATCGAAGGAGACTCCGATCATAAAGAAGGTACAGCGCTTTTGCCTGCTGACCAAATTAAGCATGGCGCGTGCTTGAATTTGGGCGAAAGAGGAAAGTCGAGGTCAGATGAAAGAGGGGAAACTGAGTGTAACGTAGTGGCTCTGGCGCTATAGAAAATCTAAAAGCATTTCTTTAGAATGTAGAAAAGCAAAGCAAGCAGATGAATACGCACTGATTACGCTAGATCGCGCGCTGGGAGGTTCATGAGATGACGTGTCCTCTACCAGAGGACAGGGCTACAGTCATGGGCCTTCCTTGGGCGACTGAAACTGTGTGGATGTCCAGGACCACATAACGGAGGAACGATGAGGTGATGGTCAGAATCCAAGACGCGTCTCTCACGTGTTCCGGTTTGTCCGTCGTCCGACCAGTGCTGTTCAAATTGTACCCTTACCTTGACTATAACTTGCGCCTTCTATACCCTGACAGGATTCTAGTCTCGTACTTCTTCCTCGAGCGACCAATTGTCGCCGATTTTTGACTTCCATTGACCTCTCAAGCCTGGAGCTTGATTGAAGCTTGACGATATGCTCCTTCCGCGCAGGTAGGTCACCCATTGGACCTCCAGAAGAGTCAATATTTCAATGTTCATCGCCAGACTTGGTGAAGAAGAAGAAGATCAGGATGGGGATCAGGTAGGCAGTCTCTCCTCTGACGTAGGATTTCGTTTCCTAACCTCTGCACTGGCATAAGGGTCTGTATTCGACCCCTCAAAACTCAGCGACCACTTCTGAATGGGATTGGAATTTACGATATCACCTGTGGGCTGAGCTATGGAGTCCGTGCAAGCCTCTAATTGGCATTATTTACTCTGTAAGTCCCCTGGACTGTAACTCTCATCGCAATTTTCTAATTTCCCTGCTGTCGACCTAGCTGTCGGCTTTCCCTTGTTTTAAGTCTTCATTGCGACAACGGCTTGGTATGCAAGGCAGGTGAGGTCAGGGTTCTGATACCCATACCACTATGAAAGCCTTATGAATTTATAGGTCATGGCTGTCATAACTATGATTGCCTTCTGCGCTGTAATGACTGGCAGAGTACATGATCGACCATCTCTTCATTTACTGCAAACCTGTTGCATCCCTGCCTCTCCCTAACTTCAATCCGACCCCTCCTTCTCGGAGCGACGTATCATCAAGCTGTCTGACCACGGAAGATGACTATCCATGGTCACCCTCACCCTTTCGTGTATCGTAAGCTGAATTTTTGCCACGTTATCCTGCAGAAAAGGTGTTGCAGATTCAAAGGGTGCATATGGATTGTCCTCATGGTCTTATATGCACTCTACATTATTGCAAATCGACAGAAACGATATTCCAAGCCATTTGAACTTCACGTTGGCGCAAGCAAGTCACTTGGTCCGTCATCTTTCCATCATCTACCAGTCCTACTACCCTACGTTGGCGACTCCCATTCATCGAACACCTCGGCCCCTTCTCACTGAGCATTTTATCAAAATTGCAGGTGCATGATCAAATTGGTAAGCAATATCTGCCGATCCTCAATCAGAAGCTGACCTTTTGTCGTTTCTCAAACAAGCCTCCTGAAATTGAAGGACAGATTCACGGCGTATTATGAGCGGTTGGACGGACTAGATATTCCGCTTCGGCGCCCTGCGAGAATGTTTGCTTCCTCTCTGTGCCTTTGCGTCGCCCAACTTCTGCGTGACCAATGGCTTAATGACGCCTGACGCCTACGTGACTTATTCAAACTCTAGCGCTTCAAATGGCTCTGCTTTTGGGATCCTTCATTCATATCATCCGATAGATCCTTATAGTCCAGACCACGGTCTCTAATCCTCCATGATGCTGACTCTGTTCATGCGCTCCCTGCATCCTTATACACAACTTGTTGTCTCCCTCCTGGATTGTTCCCAATCAAAAGAGCCTCTCCCTTTCGCATGCCAATCGGTACCCTAACGACCATTCCCTTTCATGAAGGGTGCGAAACAAATAAGTACTCCCACATAACCATCTTCTTATCGATCAAATTTCGACGTCCGCGAAAGTCCCTGGTGGGCAGGAGCGCGATGGCACGGTGGGCACATCTTTTCGTCCTAGACCTAGACAATTCCGATTAGAAGGCTGATTAGAAGGGCTGATGACGAACCTTGACGAACAAGAACACGCAGCAGGTGTGCCCTGGATTTCCCAAATCGATTTAATCTCTGCTCGGTAAAAAAATATCCGTGGACTTGTGGACTTGTTTGGTTCTGTGGGACACATGGCCAAGTCAATGGGTCCCATCCTCCGATCTCCTTGTGGGGGGACGTGATCGGAAGGGTACAAACAAGACCATCCTCAGGAATTCGCATATAAACCCGCCCGGAAAGTTTCCCCACTTCCAACGCCTCTTGCTTTCGTACCACTACCTTCCCCTTCCTTCCTCCTCTCTTATTGGGAGGTAGGCTATGGGTGATTGACCATGTACTACTCATCACCTATATCATCTCGCCATGGGTGCTGCCTTGTCCTCGCCCTCGTCTTCTCCAATGTTGGCCCATCGTTGATCAAGGACATTCACTCCCTATCCTAATACGA